CTTTTATCCAAAGCAACTTACAAATGAGAAGAGCAAATAGAAGCAATTTAGACCAATAGGAGGGCAACAGTATACAAATGCTGTAACAAGTCTCAGTTAGTATAGCACAGTGCACATACCATTTTTGTTTTTTTTTCCATAAAAAGAGACAAATAGAATAAGAAAATGTTAGCATTAGTTAGTTAAGTGCTGACGAAAAAAAAGTGTCTTTTTTTAAGATGGCCAATGACTCAGCTGCTCGAATTGAGATAGGCAGGACATTCCACCAGCTTGGAACAGTCCAGGTAAAGGTCCGTGAGAGTGATTTCATGCCTCTTTGGGATGGTACCACGAGGCGTCATTCACTTGCAGAACGCAAGCTTCTGGAGGGTGCATTAGTCTGAACTATCAAGTTTAGGTACTTTGGTGGAGTGCCAGTGGTTGTAGGCAAACATCAGTGCCTTGAATTTGATGTGAGCGGCTATTGGCAGCCAGTGCAAACTGAAGAAGAGAGGTGTGACGTGCGCTCTCTTCGGCTCATTGAAGACCACTCTTGCCACAGCATTCTGGATCAGTTGCAAAGGGTTGATAGTACATGCCGGAAGGCCTGCTAAGAGAGCATTACAATAGTCCAGTCTGGAGAGAACAAGAGCTTGGACAAGGAGTTGTGTGTGTGGCCTGCTCTGATAGGAAGGGTCTAATCTTCCTAATGTTGTATAAAGCAAATCTGCAGGACTGGGTCGTTGTAGTAATATGGTCTGTGAAGCTTAGCTGATCAATCAATCACAACTCCAAGGTTCCTGGCTGTCCTAGAAGGTGTTATGGTTGACGAACCTAGCTGTATAGAGAAGTTGTGATGAAGTGCTGGGTTGGCTGAGACCACAAGCAGTTCTGTCTTCATAAGGTTGAGTTGAAGGTGGTGGTCCATCATCCAGCCAGAGATGTCTGTCAGACAGGCTGCAATGCGAACAGCTACCGTCGGATCATCTGGTTGGAATGAGAAGTAGAGTTGAGTGTCATCAGCATAGCAGTGATAGGAAAAGCAATGTTTCTGGATGACAGATCCTAATGATGACATGTAGACGGAGAAGAGAAGTGGTCCAAGCACTGAGCCCTGAGAAACCCCAGTAACAAGAAGTTGTGACTTAGAAACCTCCCCTTCTCCAAGACACCCTGAAGGACCTACCTGAGAGGTAAGATTTGAACCATTGGAGTGCAGTTCCTCAGATGCCCATCTTCATGAGGGTTGACAGGAGGATCTGGTGGTTGACTACGTTGATCCAGCAAGATGAGTACTGTGGATTTGGAACCTGCTCTTGCCAGTCTCAGTGCTTCAGTAACCGAGAGCAGGGCAGTGTCAGTTGAGTGGCCGTTCAGCATAATGACCATCCTTATAATGACCATCACACACAATAAACAGAGCGGACATACTGAGCAGACCGTTCGCATATGCTTCCCCCGTAAATGCTGCTTATTTGAGCATCAAATCTATCTGCATCAGCTGTACTAAAAGAGGAAGTATTATACAAACATGATCTGTTTATTCAATGTGTGATGCTGATGTTTCTCAAAAAATCAGACCCATAAAACAGTAGTGTTGGGACATTTTCCATAATTCACTGGCTAAGCTAATGCACACAAATCAGCTTGGCGCCATAAACCTCACTCATAACACTAGTAAACACCCCAATGTGAGCAGAGGGAATAGTGCATTCATAGTAGGCCTCCAAACCACAAAGCTATCCATCAATGCATGGCACTGAATAATGAATGACCGCTAACAGGAGTCTGACGCGAATAAAGACAGGAGCATTTCCAGATGACCACAGCATCAATAAATCTGACGTGCCCACCAACACTTCCATTACATTCTTCATTGGCAGCGGAGGAGAAAACGATCTACAGCAACACGAGCTCACAAAGAACAAGGCGACAATCTCCACAGAGCTGGAATCCAGGATCTGCTGTGTGTATTTGCAGTCACTCAGATCAGTGAGCGCTCGCCGTAGGTGCAAACCACCGCACCAAAAAACAGGAAAAAGAAACTACAAAACAATTGTTCTGTAAACTCTTATGGCAAGTTGCTCTAAGGCAAAGCCTTCTTCAAAACAGAAACGAAAAACGACATAAAATAATAATTAAAGTAAAAATCAAAGAAGTATGATATCTACTCCAAAAAGTTAATCTTGTTCATCATTTTTTTTTTTTTTTAACTGTCAAAGCATTACTGGCTTTTTTTAACTGTCAAATCATGTATTTGGTTATTTTATGCCATGGCAATAATTAAATCATCAATATATATAAATAAATATATATATATATACACACATTATAAAAATATAAAAATTCTATAGGTTTTCCTCTTTGACACTTAACTAAATACTCTTTTAGAGAACTTTCTTCATAAATTAAGTGTATTAACATATTAATCTGTCATCTCATTCATTTGCACTCATCTAGCCATTTTTGAATGTAGGAACGCATCCTGCATGAATTTCCTTTCCACAGTTTCCTCTGGATTGGGATATGAAGGCTTTATTTTCCGTGCAGCTGCTTTGGAATAATATGTATTGTGAAAAGCTCTATATAAATAAAACCGACTTGACCTGTCTCGCTTTTACAATCCATATAATACACATTACACCGGCTACATATCTGCATCTCCAGGCCCGAGCGGAGCAGTATGCGTGAAGTCTTTTCAGTCAGCAATGAGAGGTTATACTTACAAACTCAGAGACAAGAGTTTTCTGATTTTGACAATTTGCTCAAAGCAAAGAAACTCTCTGCACATTTATGAGGACTCCTGGGACCAACAACAGGAGGCTGAGTGAATTTAAAAAACAAACATAAAATAATCCCTAAATATGATTGTAAACTGGATTAGACAGAAATGGGAGTTCACATTAAATGCTTTTAAATCCTTCTGGAACCAAGGCAGCACAGTGATGCTTTTCTGAATGGGGATATTAATACAACTAACCTTCATCACAGACTGCAATAGTTCACTCAAGGTCTGTTAACAGTGCAGAGCAAAACATTTTTATTTTTTTGTCAGCTATATACAAATAAAATAATTGTCGGAAGGTGGTATTAATATTAATCAGGCTTGAGCCAGCATTAGGCTTAATTAAAGCCCATTGTGCCTTATTGACAAAACGTTTGTGGTAATAATGTTTTTTTGACAGAAATTAATACTTTTATTCAGTAAGCATGAATTAAATTAATCAAAAGTGGCAGTAAAGACATTTATAATGTTACAAAAGATTTATATTTCTGTTCTTTTGAACTTTCTTGTCATCAAAGAATCCTGTATCCTATATACAGGTGCATCTAAATAAATTAGAATGTCGTGGAAAAGTTCATTTATTTCAGTAATTCAACTCAAATTGTGAAACTCGTGTATTAAATAAATTCAATGCACACAGACTGAAGTAGTTTAAGGCCCAGAGGGGCTTGCGTACAGTAACCAAACTATTAAGTTATTTTAGATATATTTCAGTATTAATGTGTTAACAGAGTTACTAAATGAGCAGTGTAAGGATGTGCCTTCGTTTAAATGGCAGCACAGAGCGGTGTTACACAGTGAAGGCTGCGGCCTCGTTAGCATGTGACCTCAGTTTGGGATGACAGAGAATTAATTGTAGCAACAAGGTCCCGCCAGATCGGAGTTAAATGTTAATCAGGGGGGCGAGAACACTGCCAAGTTGCTGCAAAATGCCACTGGGAGTTTTCAGCTGCATGTTAATAAAATTATGTGATTAAAATCACACTGTGTGGGCTAAAAAGCTGCACTGATTCATTCAAGCATAACTATTTATTTGTGTGTTTGTTTTTTAGGGGGGGGTTCAATTTTCGTTCAGCCACTTTGATAAATGATTTTGTTTAAGAGGCTGATTTAATCCAGGTCTCAGCTGCATGGTCAGTCGTTAGAGATGCCATTAAATGGTAAAAATGGCAGCGGTTTCCTTTCCAAAGATCGAAAGTTCAGTTAGTAATCTAACTTATTTTGTGCTCACAATAACAAAGTATTATTTTATCTGTAAACTGTAGCTTTCTGACAATCTCAGACACATGTATTACTCTTTGTAAGTCCCCAGTAGTCCCTTAGTGCAAAAATGTAATAAGAAATACTGCATTAGTCTTCTGTTCTCTGCTGATTAATATCTTAAAAAAAAAAAAAAAAAAAGATTGGGGCAACATAAGGGGTATTAACCTTCAGGCAAACCTTTAATACAGCCTCAGACATGACAAGAAGCCAATTAATTTGAGCCTACAGAAAGAATGGATCTGGATCAGAGTCACGACACAGAATATGTTGAAAAAAGCAGTTTTTAAGGTTAGCTTGACCTCTAAGGAAAAAGAGAGAGCACTAGGCAATCCATTTATTTAATGGTTTTAATTAACTATAATAATCGTTTTTTCATCATTGGTTTCAGTAAGTAGTTATTAGCACAATTAGCACAATAATATTGAGATGCTTGGTGTCTTTTTTAACAAGCAGATTAGTTTCATCATTAAGGATCTTTCAGCTCAGATCTGATGCTAAATTGAAAGATTTTTTTTTTAAAGGACTTGGAAACAATCCCAGCTTGATTACTGTAACTATATGTATGCAGGCCCGTCTCAATCTCATGTCCAGATGGTTCAGTACACACCAGTGAGACTTTTAGTGAAAATCAAACATAAGAGATCACATCTTTCTTATCAGAATCAAATGAACTATTACCAATAATTACCAATTAGCTTATACACTCTTAAAAATACAGGTGCTTCAAAAGGTTCTTCAAGCGATGCCATAGAAGAACCATTTTTGGTTCCACAAAGAACCATTCAGTCAAAGGTTATTTAAAGAACCATCTCTTTCTTACCTTTTTATAATCTGAAGAACCTTCTTTCGCCACAAAGAACCTTTTGTTAAACAGAAAGGTTCTTCAGATGTTAAAGGTTCTTTATGGAACCATTTAGACAAAAAGGTTCTTATATGGCATCGTGAAGCACCTTTATTTTTAAGAGTGTAGTTATAAAAGCGGCCCAGCGTGGTATTTCTGCACAATATATTTGTAAATTCCTTCATGCATACTCTGCCCCAAGGTTATGCAATCAACTTCCTTCTGTCCCGTTCACGCTGTAAGGGAGATTTCTCAGTTCTGGAACCGTTTCCCTGCTCATATTAGATCCTCCTCCTCCACTGGCAATTTGAAATCTGCTTAAAGGTCCATTTTTACTCCTTAGCTCTTGATTCTATGGAAGTTTTTTTATGGGTTTCCTCTTATTCTATTATTTAGGTTTGATCAACTTGACATGAATATCCCTCTCTTTGTGACAGGATGACTTTTATAGCCTGCGATTACAAATATAAAGATCTGTGAAAATGTGTATTTATGTGTTTGGTGATATTAAAATGTATAGAAACATTCAACCAAAACATTAACCTGACAAGAAAAAGCTACAATAATCTTGACAGGAGTTAAATCTTGCTACAATCCTGAGTTACTGCAGCGTCCCTGCTTGTTCATAAGTCAAATATAGTAAAACGGTCGTCATACAAACTGAAATGGCATACGAAGGCTTCAGTAATCTCTCCCAAAGTGCTTATTCACTTTGGCGACAGCAATGTAAATCACTAGATTTACCACAAAATACTGGTCCTTATTCTCCATCTGCTTCAGCCTCATCTCAACCCTCCCCTCTGAGTCTTGGTATAGAATGGAGAAACTCCCGCCATCAAAATCATAAGATACTGTGTCCTGACTGGCTTTTGTCATCACAACAGGAGCGCTGACACACCAAAAAGGCTGCTTGGCTTCATCCCATACAGTGAGGCTGATCATGCAACAGTCCTGAAGACAGCAATTAGACCATGAAATACATCCTTACATAAGTATTAAAATACTGTGAATAAAAAGTGAGGATGATTGGACCAGTGTGGTGATTCTGTACCTTGATAGTTCCATGTAAAGCTTCAGTCCTCCAAGGCAAGCTGACGTCTCCAACCAGATGAATATTTGGAGATCTGTCATTCTCACTGATCACTTCCAGTGGAAGATAACCATCAGAAATCTGATCTGGAGAGTAAAAAATAGGTATGCTAAGGTACTTTGCATAATAATAATAATAATTATTATT